TAGGCTTGGTCATTCTGGGGAGTTTTTCTTTCATCTCTTTGACTGAACATTTTTGGATCTTACATGTCCTCCTTGATGAAACAAAAAGCTGCTGCGGTGAGTCGGGGTGGAGCACAGACCTCGGCTCAGGTCTCTGGCAACACGGTTCCTCTGCGGGGAGCCAGGTTGATGCCAGCTGGGTTGCTCAGTAACGGATTTCACTGACAGACAAAGAAATCAGTAAATCAACAACCTAATCCTAGTTTTGCTTTAGCTGGGAACAGGTGGTCCACAGCAGGGTCTGTCTATCTGCATTATGTCTGCATGGTCTGGTCACCCTGTCACACCTTACTGTGAACTGGGTGAGTTTCTGGAGGATGGAGAAAAAAATCCTTTAGAAACTCCAGAGAGAAGCATGCTAACTGCAAACATCTTGGAGAACTCATCCTAAATTAGGAAGAGATTCATATTAGGTGGTCACCTGACAGAACACTGAAGAATGGGACGTCCTCTTCATCGTCGTGGGAAGATGACCCTCCCACATCCACGGTGTGGTCCCACTCCAGGGGAAGGGAATCCACGCTGACTGGGGTTTCTCTTCCTGAGCGTTCTGGAGGAGGCACCAATAGGTGGGATGTTGCCGGCCGTCCAGCTGAGACTCCGCCAAGACCTGAAGGTTCACTCTCTTCCTTCTTCCTCCTCACACTGGAGGACCGGTCCAGGTCAGTTTCCTGGTCTGACATCTCCTCATCCAAAACCTGTGGGTTAAAGACAGCATGTAAAGATTCAATTATCCATTGCTTCATCCAGGTCCTTCCTCCTTTGGGTTGGGTTGGGTTAAAACGCGGAGGGTCCGCCTCTACCAGTCGCTTTAATGTCTTAGTTCATGTAAGAATTTTAATGGTTTGGTTTCATCAGGATGATTCTAGGTGGACCTGAATCCTTTACGTTCATTAGGCTGCTAGGTGAAGAACACATTCCCCAAACATGAAAATTCATCTCCAGGAACTTCCCATAATTCCCTGGCTCCTCCTGGGATCCAGGCTCTATTATTGTTGAATGTTGATCAAACTTGAAGCTAACATTCTGGAACTTTCCCAGAACTTATCTGGATTCCGTAAAAATTCAAAAAATATCCACTGGACTTGGTTTCCAAGATTTGAAGACGTTTCGCCACCTCTCCAGGAAGCTTTCTCAATTCAAATGTCAGACAAGTCCAGTGGATATTTTTTGAATTTTTACGGAATGACTATGACCTGGATGACTAAGAACCTTCATCAGCAACTTATCTGGATGTTTCTTAACCTGCAGAGGAGCTTTGCTGGAACCTAAAAGGAACGTCTTGAAAAGTTTTGAAGATTTAGGAGGTTTTAGTAAAAGTTGTGGAAGCTTGAAGGCTTTAATTAACAATCTGTGGCGTCATATTTCTTATGGTTCAGAAAAAGCTGCTACTGTCTGGACTACGTTGGCATGATTTGATTAGGATAGTTTTCCTATGGTTGCTGCCGGTTCAGCTACTAACCGGTCTTCTGTTGATCAGGCGCTGATGGAAGCGAGCCACCCGGCCAAACACCTCTTGGCAGTAGGAATGAAGCTCCTCCAGCTCGTCCTCAATCAGCACAGCGTCCAGAGAAGCGCTCTTCTGGATCAGATTCTCCCCAAAAACTATCAGGGCATCGATCTTGTTGGTGTTGAGGGTGATCTCCTGCTTGAAGCCCTGCAGAAAAACGGTTTAGACACATGAGAAGGAAGAGCAACCTATGACCAAACCATTGATTTTATGTGGCAGGATTGATAATTTAGACCCCGAATTAGGACAATACTCAGCCTTTACTGACAGCAGATCTGAGACCTGATTATTGGCGATTGCTGAACGGCAGGTTTTAGAATATACCCAAAATAGCATCATAACTACTTCATTACCTTCTCTCCTTATGCATACATGAGAATACTTGTCCCTTTTAGGCAAATATTGATCTACCTCTCCTGAAGGCAGAATGAAATGCCAAATGCCAAGATGAAGATATAAAGCTCCAACATCTCTGCGTTTCCAGTAGGCTCTGTCACTACCATGTAAAGGTGAACAGGAGGTCTTACTCTCAGCTGCCTCATCTTGTCTTCGATGTCGCTCTGGGAGAAGTGCTCCACATTGGTGAGCTGGAGGTCCATCTCTGTGAGCCAGACCAGTATCCCTTCACGGGTTCCTTCAAACTCTTCTCTCTGGGAAGTAAAGTGCTGCATGGGACAAAGATCATCATTTCAGAAACATGCTGCAGGATGTCTGAGGCGAGGTTTACGGTGACCATCTATAATTAAAACCATCTGAATCTAAAAAGGGAAAGAAGTGATTAATGATGGTGTCTGCTCTGACTTTAAACAGAGGAAAATAAAGCCTAGTTTCCCTGTTTAATTTCAGCTTCCTGTGTCCTGTCCTGCTTCTCGTCTTTATTTAGTAATTTTAACTCAGATATCAACCTCTGTCAGTCGCTTATGTTGTTGAAGCTCTGCAGTCTGTGCCAAAACCTCTTCACCCCCACTGACATGCCCTGTTCTTCCTGTTCAAAGGGAGTTTTTCCTCTCCACTGTCGCTACTAGCATGCTTAGCGTGAGGGATTGCAGAAGAGTCAATGAGTCGATGCAATCAACCTGCTTTCCTTAGATAGAAAAACTTTGAATCAATCTGACTGGATGATCTGGTGAACTGTAAAGTGCCTTGAGATGACATGTGTTGTGAATTGGTGCTACTGTATAGAAATAAACTGAATAGAATTGACATTCATCATGTTGGTTCAGATGGGTTAAATGATGACCATAAAGGTCCAAAATGTTGCTTCTCTTAAATCTCTGATTAAAAATGTTTATTCCAGTATCTCTGATCCTGGCTGTTCTCCATTTTCCTCAGTTAATTTTAGGATCGCTTTCTGCTGACAACAGTAAGTCTTCAATGGTCTGGGCTGTGTTGTTTCTGACAGCCATCTTAGATTTAGTCTCAGTCTTCAGGATAAAAACTATTATTAGTTTTAGTCGCATTTTAATCATTATGATATGTGATAGTTTTAGTCAGTTTTATGTTGCACTTCATAAAAAGGTGAACCTTTACAATTTGGAATACCAACCAGATTATTTTCCAGACTGACAGCTCTATCCTGGATACTACAATAGCTGGGTATAGAAATCTACCATGCAGTTCATCATTGCTGTTGGCAGAAAACTTTGATTTATACAATTCAAATAAACCTTTTCATGAATTAATGTCCTACTTTATAAAAAAGTGTCTCAGAAAAGGTGTGGAAATAGCAGATCTATTTCAAGACATCATATTTCATCTGGATCTTTATACAGAAATAAACAGAATGCAATGAAATATTTTATTTGGATATAATTTAGGGATTCCTTAAAGAATGTTTAGTATCGCCTCTTGTGAGCTGGAAGAAATAAAATATTGATAGTGAAGGGATTTTTTCCGCATGGCAGAAGATTATCAGCCACACATAGTTTATTAAGTAACGATAGCAGGAAGAGCCATACTTCTGAGAGCGAACCATCAGAGTGAAGCGTAAAGTGCAGACTATGAGCTCTGCGCTTAAGGACATTTCTGCATAAACTCAGCTGGAAGATCAGAGCAGAGTTTGTCAGCGTTCAGCGTGCAGTAGCAGATCATTCTGGGTTATTTTCTCAGACCCCACCCCTGCTTCCATGATCCATCTGTGCTCCTGCAGCATGTGTAGCCCTGCGTAGCAGGCGGGCGGAAGGATCAATGAAGAAGCAGCAGCCTGGCTGATACTGCTTGGCTGATTACAGCACAATGATACAGTCTAAACATCTGACAAACAATGTGCTATTTTTTATTTAGTCTCGTCTCGTTGACTAAAACTCAAACCTATGACTCGTCATGTTTTAGTTATCAGAGATCCACGTTTAGCTCGTCAGTTTTCGTTATCGTCATAAAAAAAAGGGGCTTCAATGAAAAGATTTCGTCATCCTCATTGTTGACGAAAACAACACTGATCTAGTAGCTATGCTGTATTCTGGAAACTCCTCTAGAACCTCTGGATGATTGGTAAGTTAGAATCCAGGCTTCAGGCTGCTGAACATCCAGAAATTAAAGTAGGCCCTCCACGTAGCTGTCCTCCAGTAGTGCCTGAGCAGCAATTTGATTGGGTAATGGTACACAGAAAGTGTAGTCATGGATCTCTGCCCACGGGTAACCAACAATCCGTCCACATCTCTAACCAATTCTCCCCACTCAGTGACACACCAACTGAAATGCCCACTCTGGTAATTGGCATCTCCACAGTCAGAACGGGCGACATCAAATCCTACCTGAAACTGCTGGCTAAGGATAATGGTTAAATACAGTAAGATTGTTATTCACGCTGGCAGTAATGACACCCTGCATTCAGACAGTGTCTTGCCCACAACCAAAATCACAAATTAGAAAAGAATTCTAAAGGAGTAAATCATGATAATATAATTCAAATGAAAATAACTTCAATTGGGGAAAAAGTTAAAACGATTAAATCTGGTTTATTTAACATAAGATCTCTTTCCTCTAAAGGTCTGCTAGTTAATGACTTGATTTATGATAATCACATTGATTTATGTTGCCTGACAGAAACTTGGCTGCAGCAAGAGGATGATGTAAGCATAAATGAGGCAATTCCTTCTAGTTGTTTAAATTTTCACATACACAGAAGTTCTGGGCGAGAAGGATGATTTTAGACTGCTTTGATCCAGTTGATCTTTCAGAGTTAGCAAAACTATTGTCTTCATATAAGCCTTCAACTTGGATGTTAGATCCAGTTCCTACTAGGTTATTTAAAGAGGTATTCCCTTTGATCTTCTCCTCCATTTTAGATGTGATTAATCTATCTCGGTTACAGGGATATGTACCAAAGGCTCTGGGGCCCTTCCTATTTAACATCTACATGCTCAACATCTATATGCTCCCTTTGGCTCAGATTATAACAAACAACCAGATCAGTTACCATGACGGTGCAGACAACACTCAGCTTTACATCCCAATGTCAGCAGCTGACCATGAACCCACACCCTGCTCTCACCTTCAGCCTGCGGATCACAGCCCCCACCCGTCTCTGAAGGGAGTCCCACCGCTGGTTCCCATCATGAACCAAGAGCTTCAGCTTGCAGGCAGCATCAGTGCGGTTCTCTCGGGCCAGGCGGTGGTACTGTTTGTTAACCAGCTCCAGTTGAGTCAGCCGCTCATGAACCTGCCTCTGGAATGCCTTAATGGACAAGTTGTAAATTAGGATTTCTAAGTTCTCTGACAGATTTTTGACCAAACATTGTGATCCGACCTAACTGATAAATCAGTTTCCCATTTTCCAATGGGAACTTATCTATTTTAGATAAACGTCTGCAGTGTATACTTTGGACAGTAATTTAGGAGAATTAAAGTTTAGTAAACCCTCTATACGTGTTGGCATTGGTAGAACTTCTCATTAATCTTAAATCAGTCTTTTATTATGGTAAATGGTAAATAGTTTGTACTTATATAGCACTTTTTTAAGTCAGGAGACTTGACCAAAGCACTTTACACTACATTTAGTCATTCACCCATTCACTCACACACTGATGGTGGCAAAACTACATTTGTGGCCACAGCTGGCCTGGGGCTCACTGAAAGAAGGGACCTAATAGACCTAATCTGTTGATATTCCAGAAATTTGGTTTTTGAAATCCCAAACTAAATGTTCCAAGAATTTCATTCCTTCCCTGATCCATTTGGGAAATCTTCTCATAGATAATTTTGCGTGATATCTGGGCTGTTAAAGATGGCCGTACGGTTAGTGAGGATTCAGTCATTTTAATAAACTCCCCCCAAGCTGTCAGAGATGAGCTAATGCAGATGCTTTTAAAGCTTATTGCCTATTATGTTTAATCTAATGAATGTAAGATCTGCAACACTAATATCAGATGATAGAAACTGTTCTACATCTAACCAGGACTCATCTTATGGTTTTAGCCATTTACTCATGAATTTTAGCCTATTTTCTAGGAGGTAATGATGGAAGTTGGGCAGATTTAATCCTTCATTGTCTTTGGTCTTTTATAGCGTTTTAAGCTAATAGGTGGGAGGTTATCTTTCCAGAGAAAGTTGGTAATGGAAGAATCTAAAGATTTCTGGTTTAAATCTTTGGTTTGCTTTGAACCATCGAAAAAAAGGTTATTAATTTTTGGAAAGACCATTTTTATTGAAGCAACTTTACCAATGAGCGATATGGGATTTCCATCCAGCAGGATCATCTTCCACGTTATTAAATCCAAATTTTTTAAAGACTTGTTGGAGTCATTTTTGCAAATTACAATGAATGACTTTGGATTTTGACCAATATATAAAGTAATCTGAGATTCTAAGGAAAGATTGAATAGCTGGAGAGAGAGAGCGAGGTTTGTGAGTGCTGGAGAAAGAGTCATTCATCATCTGCATAAAGGCTGACTTTAGGTTCCTGCATTTAATACATTTCTACATAATATGTTTCTTGATTTATTTAAAATAACTGAATTAACTGCAAGGTCTTTTTGAATGAACTGATCGTTTATGGAAATGTTCAGAAGCCCAGATTTGTTTTTATCAGCACAGCTGGAAGCTAAAACAACTGCTGTGGTCGAGGAGATGCAACGATGAAAAGTGACAGTAATTGCCTTACCTCAAACTTCTTGAGCTCCTCTTTGGCACAGGTGTAGAGGACATTAGAAGAAGCAGGGTTGGCTGCCGTGAGCTCAGCTGACTTTAGCCAGCCTTCAAAACGAGAATAATCATCTAGGAACCTACACCAGAGACGCCAAGTCTCCTCAATCCTGGAAACGACAAATAAACCAAGGTAAGTCTTTATCAACCAGGTTTTCCTCAGTTCTTAAAGAGAAGCCAAACCTCATCCTGCGCTCCAAGGACATGGCACAGATGTTCCTCCAGCGGCGGTCCAGGTTGTAAGCGGTCTGCTGGATGGAGTCGTTCTCTGAATCCCCGCCACAGGCATCAGCATCATGGAGCAGGATGTCACACAGCTTCAGCACCGATGCCACGCTCTCAGTGTGCTGCTCTATGTCCAGCTGTAAACCCTGCAGGTCCATAAGACATGCTGATGGAGAATCTTTCTGCTTCATCAAATGTTAGTTCCTTCAAAAAACTTTTCTAATTAGTTTTCCCATTTTGGTTTTCAGCCTACAGGTCCAAAAGCACGCCGGCCTCAGGATGATGTGTGTGTGTGGGAAGTTAACCTGTTTACACAATCATGAGGACCTATGTCCTTATGGGGACCAAAATCCTGTTCTTTCTTTGAGCCGGGGTTTAGGACTAAGGTGTGGATTCAACTCAGGTTAGGGTTAACCGTACGTTTGTAATAGTTTGGGTTATTAACACTTCGAAATACAGACATTTTTGGAATTTAGAAACATAAACTTTTATCACACCTTTTACATGAGCAAAGCTGTAAAAAGATATATATATAGAAATGTTTATATATATGTGTTTATAAAGGAAGATTTGCCATGGAAAATTATTTTTTTGTCTTGATTGTTGCCGTCGGTTTCTTTCTCAGCAAACGTTCTGTTTTACAGTCTGCGTACCAAATTAGTTAAAGGTTAGTTTCATAATCAGTGCATCATCTCAGGCATTGTCAATAAGATGGACAGCGCCCCTCAGCATAGAACCAGATCAGTTAGAGAAAAGCTGGAGGTTCAGAGGTCATCTGGTTCTGATACAGCTGGATCAGCAGATAAAGGTTCTGATAAAGGTTTAAGGGTCTTCTATGTCACTAAATGAGACCTTCCCCTCCATAGAAAGCACTGCTGGACCAGTTTGCTTGTTTTTTTTTGTAAATGATCAGATTAGATCTAATAATTCCAGAACTTTATGGTTCTGTTATGGCTGTATGGTTTGGTTCCGTTAGCAGGAGGCTCTGAGCCACGAATGTAGAATCAACTATTTATCTGCCCTCCTGGTCGTGTTCCATGATAAAAACTGATGATGTTTGGGTAAAAAAAAGTCCCTGATTGGTGGACCTCTGGAGACCAACATGGTCAGAGTCAGTGAGGGCAGTCAGACCGCCATAGCAGAGATAATCCTGCAGACACAGAGCTACTCTTTATAATCTGGTGTACAGAGATTATCAATGATCTTCAGCTGAAGCTTAAATCTTTGAAATGAAGAGCAGAAACATCTGCAGCCTGTCCTGATGCACAGCTGCTAAGGAGCAGAGATCTTGGAAGTCAGGCGTTAATCATAAACATGAGGAATGGGAGCAGAAACACCTTGAAGCTCCAGTTAGTGGCGGCTGCTGCTCTCTGAAGCAGTGGAGGCTCAGAGGAATGAATTAAACCCAAACGTCATGTATTTTATTAACAAATGTTAAAAAACATCAAACTCGTCTCTACATCGAGTGAAAATAGCTGCTCCAGTAACCATGGCAACAGTTTAGCACCAGATTACTAAAGGATCCCTACTTCCTGGTCTGAGTGTCATGATGAGAAACACCTCCCTGTCTGGCCACTGTCAGTCAGATCATGTTCGGCCAATCAGCTTTACGACCCGCCACTGCTCCATCAGTGGCTGAGCCTAACCGGCCATCACAGATTTTGGCATTATCCAATCAGGGCTCTACTTTCTCGCTGGTTGCTTCAATAGACAGAGCCTCAAGCCTGAGTGGGGCTTTAACATGGAGACTGACAGGCAGCGACCTGTTACTGCAGAGTGGAGGGGAGATGGCATGCCAGAGTGAAATAAACAGCTTGTTAGGAATCCAGTCTGTGTGGGTTGTGTTTTTTGTTTGTTTTCCCTCCACCACCATGTGCCGCCTGGTTCTCGTTGGTCCTTTCACACACCTGCGGATGGTTGCCTCATTACCTGAGGACTCTTAAGCTGCTGACTGCCACTATCTCGATGCCAGAGTGCTTACCAGTTTTGGGTACTCTAGTCAAGCTGACTTTTGCTGAGTAAAACTGGGTTTTAGTCAACCAGAGTCTTAACCTTGTTGTTTTTGTCTTTGCCTCTCAGCAGGAAGTCATCCTGCAAACTGGATGTTTTGGACCTTCTCCCCCTGGAAGGATCATCTGAGCATCAAACTGAGCTGGGGATTCAAACTGGAGGATTGAATCTACTTTTCCCCAAAGGATTGTTTGAGCTTCACACTGAGCTGGGGATTCATCTCCACAAGAAACCGTTCAAGTACCATTGGAAATCTAAGTGGCAGTCAGCTCCTCCGTTCCTCAAGGAAACACCTCAACCTGGGTAAACACTTTCCACCCTCCAACGAGCAAGTCAATAACTGGAACAACCCTCACCGACTGGATTCAGAGAAAGACACCTTTTCTGGAAAAGTGAGTCCTTTTGCATATTTAACCAATAATTTTAGGACATTTCCAGGGGCGGTTTAGCCTCCCTAGTGTTCAGTGAGAAGACAGCTGTGAATACATCAGGTGAATGACATTTTGTCCTTTATTGTCTGAGGAGAACAGAAGCGTCTCAGTCACTGATTGGTTCTGACATGAAGACATGTGTAGCTAACCTGAGCGAGGTGGCGTTCTGGAGGAGCACGCTGTTCTTCTTGGACGTACTCTGAGCTGATTGGTTTAGTTTTGGTTGCTGGTTTCACGCTGGAAGGATGTTTATTGACTGGTGGTCCTGAATCCCAGCTGTTGTTTGTAGACCAACCCAGAGCTGCTTTTTGTCACCATCTGCTAAGCTGATGCTCTCTGACCTTCTCCTCTGGACCTCACTAAAGTATTCCCACCCTTTAGCCTTCTTTGCAGAATATTACACAGTTAGGGTTCCGGTTCTGAACACAATGAAGAGTTTATCTAAAACCTCCACACTATGAACTGGACTTTCCTGTGAAGACCTGCTTTAAACCCTCTAAGATGTGGCCTCTCCTCCCCATCCTCATTCCGGACCGACCTGAAACCTGCGTTAGGACTTTTACGGAGCCTTTCCCTACCTGCTGCTCAGCCAGCTTCCTGTGGATCTCCTCGCTGTGGCAATCCTTGTAGACCACCGGCTTGGCCAGCTCTGCCTCAATGCAGGACAGCCACGTCTGCAGGTTGCTCATGTTTTTATCCAGCTTCTGAACCGTGACCAACGTCTCCTTCAATTTCCTCACCCTGCAGGGAAAACAGAAGCCAGAGCTGTTAAGTGGAGGGAAGTGATGTTTCTGTTTATTCCATCTTATTGCTGATTAACTGCCGACTAAAGTGAAGAGCTGAGCTCTTTGTTGGGTCTCAGTAACTATCCCTCTAAAGTGACCTGTCACCTGATCAGAGCGAGCCACATGGCAACCTGTCTTAAGCCCTTAGGTCAGGGACTTCCTGCACACAGATGGTTAGGAGTCCCACGTTCCTGAACATCACCAGATGATGATGTCCATCAGAATGCTGTTGATTTCTGACCTCAGAGGTGAACCTCAGCTTTCAGTCAGTCAACTAAATGGTTTTACAGTAGAGGCAGAGTAACCTGAACCCACAAGAGCCAGAACCTGAATCACTTTCACCTGCCTTTCTGCTGCCAATATACTTCCTTGTCCCGTCCGTCTGAAAAAGTACTAATAAATTAAATTTCTGTAATAAAATAAAACCAATAAAAGTCAGATTTAAGCATTATTATATTCTAGAATTGTTCCACTGAAGATGTCTGCAGGTTGGAGTAGCTCTGCTAGCTTGACTAGAGAAATGTAGGTCCTTCATTTGTGAATCAGATTTTCTGATGTTTATTGCCTCTGCTGGGAAACTGCAAGGATTTTTAATGAGATTTTTAACTTTTTGGATACCTGCTATGATGCATAAACATAGCATGTTTTAACACCTGGGAGCAGCTAGTTAACATCTCTAAAGCTGATATAATACTTCTACCTCCACAATAACCAGCTGAGTTATGAAGGAGCAGAGCAGGACCAAAGAAAGAGAGAGGAAGAAGAAATTGAATTCACATCTTCCATCAATCATCATGGGTAATCTGAGATCTCTAGGAAGAAAGTAAAAGAACACCCATACTGTAGCTACTCTAGCAACGACCGAGCCAGAATATCGGTAATACAGGATTCTGTCTTCTTGAACCCCAGTCGGCCTCAGCAAATGGCCGCTTAAACTGAGCCTGGTTCTGCTGGAGGTTTCTTCCTGTCCACATAGAAACATGTGCTGCATGAAAGGCTGGAGTCAGCAGAAGGCAGCTGCTGGGCTGGGTGATGAACCGTCGGGCTGCTTTGGATGAACAAAGGCCCGGGGGCATCCAGTGTCAACGCTTCTAATCCCTCTGATGGTCAGACTCCAGCAGTCATCTCATCGCACCAAGTCAGGCAGAGAAAACCAGTATGTAGCCGACCCAGCAGACCCTGAATCTGCTGCACCGGAACTCTAGTTCTGCTGGTCGAAAGAGGTGATATAAGGCTGCTGGAGCCCACAGGGCATCGACTCAGGTCAGCCCTGTTAACCTTCCTCACTGCTTCATAAAGCTAAACAGAGACATTCCTTCATATATCAGAATGAGACAGAAAGTTTCAGTTTATTTCTAATGATTCATGGTGAAAACCAAACAAAACCTAATCTGATTGATTGTACCTTCAAAAAGTAAGTGAAACCACATTAGCGATAACCTCTACTTAGATCCTCCTAGATAACACCCAGAAGAAACCTGTAGAGATCATTGCAGCGGGAAAAGGAGGCCAGCAGTAATGGTTCCTCTCAGTCTCACTCTAGCTGTTTTGGTTCTAACCTTTTGAAGAAGAAGGAACCCGGCAGACAGACATTTGAGGAAGTTCTAGTTCTGTTCCAAGCTTGGAACACTTTCCAGATCTCTGATCAATCTATGATTTAAAAATGGGGAGATGCTGGATTTTCTGCTGATCAAACCGGAAATGGAAGTCCACCTGGACATGAAAGTCAACCTGGACATGGAAGGCTGCCGGAGGTCAGCAATAATCAGACAAGCAGCCAAGAGGACAGTAGAAGCAGCTTTTCTCCTCAGACATCATATGGAATGAACTGTAGAAATAGATGATTTACAATACCACATCGGGCTCTTGTCAGTGAAACATGGTGGTGGCTGTGTCATGCATCGTTTTCTCCACCAGGGACAGGGAGATGATTCTAGAAGAAAACCTGTAGAAAACCTGAGGTTGTGGTGGAGGTTCTCCATCCAGCAGAACCATCCTGAATATCCTGTCTAATTTCTGTCACACATCATGCAGAGAAAGTCCAACCCAGGCCTGCAGTTCGAACTTGGTTCTACTTCAGCTCTCTGGGATGGAAACGTTTACAGAGACAAAGACTTTGCTCCATGCAAACAGTTTCCTGATCAGGTTAAGCAGCTTGAGTTGACTAATGTAGGCAGACAATCCCTGGATTTAACAGCTTACTGGGTATCTGCCCCCTGACTATTGACCCACACAAGGCAGCAACAAGACCCACCCTGCTCTAAATAGGAGGAACATAAAGGAGAACTGTTTGCAGAATTTCAGTCTGCCTTTAGAGCTCATCATAGCACTGAAACAGTTCTGGTAAAAGTCACTATAGATGTTCTCAAGGCCTCAGATAATAGACTTGTATCTGTACTTGTCCTGTTATACCTCAGTGCTGCTTCAGAGTCAATAAACCAATGCAATCAGCTGGTCTTCCTTAGATAGAAACTTCGAAACTTTAATCTGACTGGATGATCTGGTTGAACCATCTCTAGAAAGTGAGTTGAGATGACATAATAATAATTATTCAATGACATCCGTATAAACTCTGACTCTGGAATAACCACAGTGCTGGCATTATTGGACCTCAGTGTAGCGCTTGATTCTATGAATCTTCTATGTGTCAGTAGGGGACTTTCAATCAGACACCAGAAAAATCACATTTGGCGTTCCTCAAGGATCCATTCTGGGGCCCCTTCTATTCAACATCTACATGCTCAACATCTACATGTTCCCCTTGGCTCAGATTATAGCAAACAACCAGATCAGTTACCATGACGGTGCAGACAACACTCAGCTTTACATCCCAATGTCAGCAGGTAACCATGAACCCATCAGAGCATTGGTTAAATGCTGAGAACAGATCAATATGTGGATGAACTATCAGACCTGAACCTTCAGAGGCTCAGAAAGGCAGTTACTAAGTGAGCCTTTGATCACCTGAAGAACATCTCCAGGATTAAAGGACTGATGTCCAGCAGGATCTAGAAAGTTACTCAAACTAAAAGATATTGGATAGATTTTCCACAGTACCCGATTACTTTACTTAGTAACTAGATACTTGTAATTAGCTCTAACTGATATACTGACTTTGGGGAGAAGTAACTAGTACCTGTATATCTAGTTAGTTTTTGTAATGAATGCTCCTCTCAGAGTGAGGGGGAGGGTGGAGACATAGAGCGTGAGCGATATATGATCTGTCTCTCTATTGGTGGGTACTGACGGTAAGAGATACCGTCAAGCTGAGGAGTTTTATGAAGCCTTTTTGTCTTGTGAAGCTTCAAACGCAACGAGCAGGTATCGTGGGGGCAACCATGCCAATACCCCGGCAGTAATAGAAACAAAGACTCAGGCCTGGAAGGCCTTAGAGAAAGACCAAAAAGCTTTGAGGCTTCCCTCTTCTGGAGGTGGAATCTGACTTAGGATCACTGGATGGTGGAAGGAACACATTGAGAATATGTAGAAGTTCTTTACAGCAGCTAAACCCTTTGCTAAAAACTTATTTTCCATTGATTCCTACCTGGCCTCTATGTGGTCGAACAGATGCTGCCAGCGGTCGTTGACATCCTTCAGCTTCACGTTGGTCTCCGCCTCCTTGGTCTTGTTGCTTGCAGTGATAAGCTGTTCTCCCAGCTGCTTCAGATGGGTTTTATTCTCACTAAACAGGTTGATCTCCTCCATGCAGTCCTGTGAAGAAACCACAGAAATAGATCAGTCAGACCCAGACATGACAGAGATTAGTTCTCTTCTAGAACAGTTAATCCATCTCTTAACAAAAAAAACTTTTTTTTTCTGACCCTCTTATTTGTTATGGACAGGCTAAACATTATGGAGATGAATTCAAAGATCCCTAAAGGTCACAGCAGTGGCTGTGGAGAGTCCCCATATGTCTGAACAGGTTTAACTACAGAGAGAAACCATTGAGTGTGATAAACTTTCTGAAAGCTGTCCCTCAGTGCTTCTGCATCAGTCACCCACCTTCTTCAGCTTTTCCACCATTGCTTCAATGTTCAAGTCAGCATTGTTCGCCACTTTGTTCTCCATGTGGGTGAGCCACTCACACAGCTCTTTGTTCTTCTCATTGAAGATGATCCACGCATTGAGACGGTCGGCGATCTCCTGTTTGCGCAGAGACACCTATCGCAGGTAGGAGGGTAGAAAGCAAACAGGCCTCAGGACTGGATGTTTCATTTGCAGAATGACCTGTAACACCTGCTGCACCACATCTTGACCTTTAGCATCAACTTTAGTTTGACTGCAGCAGTGGTCAAATGTAAACAGTGTGGGAGAAAATACATGGTGCAAAAAGGCATTGTTATGGAAGTTCAGAGCATTGCAAAAAATATATATATATGGTGCAAAAAAGAAGTTGAAGTTCAGTTTCTTTTTAGTTTGGTTTTTGGTATCAGTGTGATGCAAAGTCTGTGACATGATGTAGAGTTTTCTCAACAGTACCGACTGATGGTGGTGGGGAAGAAGCTGTTGCAGAACCTGCTGGTACTGCATTGAATGCTGTGAAGCCTCTTACCAGACGGCAGCAGGGAGAACAGTCCATGGTGGGGGTGTTAGGGGTCATTGATGATGTTACGGGCTCGGGACACGCAATGCTGGGATGAATTGAGCCCCCATGATCGATACAAAGGTTCCAGTTGGCTATCACTGTCCTCAGCGCCTCTCTGTCATCAGACTTGAAAGCTGAGTTCTGTGCTTTAGGAACTCAGCGTTCCTATAGAGTTCACTTAGCATGACAGAAAGGTAATCTGATGACCCGAGGTGGGGGCGGGGGGGCTGTTCTGAATGTATCTTTTATGTTAGAAAAGGCTAAATCTGGAATATTTTGTCCCCAAGTTGTAAAGACTTCATGTTGGTAAAAATGAGGCAGAACAGTCTTCAAGTTAGCCTGGTTATAATCACCAGGCATTATGAAAACACCCTCTTTCCCCATAGTGCCCCATCCACTATCAACTAACACAAACCCTCACTTAGCCCTGCGGGTAACTTTAAAGACTCACAATCTAAACTTCCTTACCCCACCGAGGGCAGACTCACATAAAACACTATGAAGCCATGAGGCCTAACCTTAACCCTTAGACCTAAGCTTAACCCTATCTAATGGTGCGTTCACACCAAACATGTTTTGGGCATCAAAGCATCTGATTTACATGCAAAGTCTACAGGGGATAGCGTAGACAGCTCCAGAGGTGCGTTCTAACGTTCCGGTGTCGGACCGTCAAAGCGTTCAACGCTGGAATTTAGAAACTTTTACTTTTGCCGTCGGATGCCAGAGCGTCAACCAATCAGAAAAGCTGATCCAGAAGACTGTTGGGGGAGAAAGACATTACCTGCAAGCTGTCTTAGCTTTTGCAGACATTCTGCATATGAAAAATTATTAAATATCAAGGGGTTGATAGTAAGCTTTAAAGTGTATAGGCAACTTGACCAGCATTTGACAAATTTCACTCTTTAAGTGTTTTCAATGGCAAGGGTCTTTGGGTTAAGGGTCTTTGCTCATATACCCCAAGTGGCAGTGGGTTTCAAACTCACAACCTCAGGATTCCAAGCCCTATGCCCTAACCACTAGGCTGCCACACCAACCTGAACCTGAACCCCCTGCTGCTGCGGTTTCTGTTTGTTTGGATCTACTGCTTGGTCTGTAGAAATTGTAGGACTTAGATCTGGTTCTAAGCAAACCAAAGCTCCTCCACTTTCTTCAGGGAGTGTCCATGCAGACTGACCTTGAAGCAAAGTTCCTCCCAATGGTAGTGAAGATCCTCCACCTGCTCCTGCAGTAGCAGTACATCATCAGTGATGATGTACTGGCACAGGTCTGTCTTCATGGTGCTCAACTCTGTCAGGCTCTCAGCCCAGTCCTCCAGGGAGTCCTTGTTCTCCTGCATACCATAACACACAGAGCAGCAGACCAAAGTGTTAGGGACTCTGTCCCACTCCCAGTCTGTCCTCTGCTCAAAGCGTTCCTCTTCCTTGTTCGCTCCTCTCCTCTTCTGCCTGACCCATGAGAGGATTAAGAGTCAGAGGCAGGAGGGGGAGGAGTGACAGCTGGGGGAGGGGAGGGTTGGGGATAAAGGCTCTGATGGGTCAGAGTTTCTGAGCAATGCGTGGGTCAGACAGGCTGTTTAAAGAGGGAACAAATGGAATCCTGATAGCTGGAGAGCAGGTGGACCACCTGACCATCCTAGAACCAAGAGGGACTGGACCTAGACCCTAAACCTAACCTTTGTCATTACAGTTCACCAGATCATCCAGTCAGATCGATTCAAAGTTTTTTATGTTTAAAGAGATTTCCTCTCCACTGTCGCTACAAGCATGCTTAGTGTGAGGAATTGCTGAAGAGTCAATGAGTCGACGCAATCAGCTGGTTTTCCTTGGATAGAACATTTTGAATCAACCTGACTGGATGACCTGGTTGAATTATCTATATAAAGTGACCTGAGATGACATGATGTGAATTGGAGCTATAGAAATAAACTGAATAGAATTGAGAACAACAGCAAACACGTCACACCCTGTTGACCTCTGCTGTCTGCAAACCGCCAGCCGTTAATCAGCCTGATTGGATTAGCGGTGCTGCAGACGACAGACAGATGGATGAGTCCATTAACGGTAGGTTAAACAGCCCTGCATGGAGACTTGCAGGAGCAAAACAAAGTCACAGAATAAAAAAGAAGTGGAGAGTTTATGTCCTCGGCTGATTGGTACGTCTGACTGAAATAATGACCCGTCTCTGTGCTTCCCCATCAGCCTTAAGCCTTAAGGCTAGGCTTTAAACTTTCCTTTTTGAAAAAGCTTATAGTTAAAGTGGTACAGGTTATCCTGAGCTATCTCTGTAGTTATGCATAGGGACACCTTTTTCATCATTCTGCTTCATTCTATCTCTATTCCCCCACTCTGCAGAATCTATTAGTTCAATCTCTAATGTTCTACTCTCTCTGCTTTTTCCCATAGTAGCTTTATCTGGTCTGTTCCTGTTCGGCTGTGACTCCATTCTAGAGAGAAATATAAGCTGTGCTGCTGCCATTAACACCTCTGTTTATACATGTCTTGGCCTCATCAGATGGCCGCTCACACTGAGCCTGGTTCTGCTGGAGGTTTCTTCCTGTTAAAAGGAAGTTTTTCCTCTCCACTGCTGCTACAAGCATGCTTAGTGTGAAGGATTGCTGAAGAGTTAATGAGTCGATGCAATCAGCTGGTTTTCCTTAGAAAACTTTGAATCAATTTAACTGGATGATCTGGTTGAATTGTCTCTGATGACATGTGTTGTTAAATGGTGCTATAAATAAACGGAAATTAATTGAAATGAACAAAAATTATATTTACTAGAAACAGAAGAAGAAACTGGCAGGTTTAGAGTTCACTCAGAGAGAGCAGATAACATGAAGGACAACAAGGTGGCTCTGATGAGACCTTTGGGATGTGGAAAAGTCCTGAGCCTTTGGAGAACTGAGTTAGGTCTCCATTCAGTTCTGCTAACAGTGAAAACAGATCAGATTAGAGGCTGGAGTCACTTTAACAACTCAGCTACTACTGACTAAAGGCTCACAGGAAGAGATTCCTCCTATATTAAAAGGATTCCTGCTATATTAAAATGATCCGTTATTTTAAAAGGATTCTCCCTATATTAAAAGGATTCCTCCTATATTAAAATGATCCCTGTTATTTAAAAAGGATTCTTCCTATATTAAACCGATTCCTGCTATATTAAACCTCTTTCTCTACCTGTTTTGTTTGAGTTTCTCCCACTAACCCAGATGACAATAAGCAGGAAGTTCAGAGTGGAAGATCACCTGGATTATGACCTCAGTCAGATCCATCCTCCCTACCAGCAGCCTGTGAAGGTTATCCTACTGTTCTTGTAAAGCTCCTAGCTGGAGCTGCAGCTGCGTCTGAGACTCCTCATCCACCATTAAGAAGAGCGGCCGGTTGGCCTCCAGCCTGTGAATAAAGGTGCCCTGGTTCCTCTGCAGCAGGAACTGAGGAGCAGTGTGGAGAAGGAGAGGATGAGCTGCTATAGGGGGTGGGCTTCCTGAGGAGATGGGTGTGGTTAAGACGTCACTCCATTCATCTAATTTAAGCTCCTCGGGAATGGAAATGAGAAGATAAATCCAGATTAGGAAGTTCTGTGAATTAAATGCAATGAATAGATTATTTAATCATCTCAGTCTCTGAACAATGTGAACCCTCTGATAAAACCACCAGATTCTATGTCCTGGGAGTTCTTTGGAAACTTTGTTTGAACTCAACAGGAACTCACTCATTTGTTTGTTCGTTCATAAATTCATTCATTCATTTGTTCTTTCATTCATTCATTCATTCATTCATTCATTCATTCATTCATTCATTCATTCTTTCATCAAAACAACTGCTGTGTTTCAGGCTTCTGGTTCCACTCTGGTTCCTCTCTGATTCCACTGTGGTTAAAGCCTGATCCCACTCTTGTTGCAGTGTGGTTCCAGTATGTGTTTACTCTGGTTATAGTCTTGTTCCAGTTGCAGTATGGTTCCAGTCTGGTTCGGTCTATTTCCATTTGGGTTGCAGTATGGCTCCAGCTGGTTCCATTAAGAGTCCCGTCTGGTTCCATTCCGGTTGCAGTCTGATTCCAGTCTAGTTCCAGTTGGATTCCACCCTGGTTGCAGTAAGGGTTCAGACTGGTTCCAGTCTTTATCCAGTCTGGTTCCATTCCGTTTGCAGTCTAGTTCCAATCTGGGACACTCTGGTAGCAGTCTGGTTCCAGTTTAGTTCAGGTATGGGTACAGTCTCGTTCCAGTCTTTATCCTGTCTGGCTCCAGTCTGGTTTCTTTCCGGTTACAGTAAGGATTCAGTCTGGTTCCAGTCTGGGTCCAGTTTTTATCCACCCTGGTCCAGTCTGGGTCAAGTCTGGTTTCATTCCGGTTGCAGTAAGGGTTCAGTCTGGTTCCTTACAAAGAAAAAAAAGAGACGCAGAAACATTGTCATTTTTATATATGTCAAGAATTTCTGAGAAACTCCAAAGGATTTTCTCTGGAAACAACATACCTGTGAAATCCCAAACTAACAACACACTCAGACAAAAAACTGGTTAATCTTAAAGACAGAACAGCCTAACCTCAGCTGAGTGGTCTTGTGTCTGTGATCTAGTGCAGTGAGGACTGTACAGCCACCTATAGTGGAGAAACCAAACAATAACTTTATAAACACATGCAGCAGCATAGGAGAGCCAGGACTCTGGGAAAGATTCAGCTAGACACTGGTCTGAACACCTAGGTGATCAGACCTTGGACAGAGAGGACAGATAGTTTGAAGGAAGCATCAAGGAAGCTCTCTTGGTGAAAAGAGAAAAGTCATCACTGGAAAGAGGGGGAGGATTGAGGTTTAAGCTTCCAAACATTTACGATTCAGGCATGGATGTCATTCCCAAGCTATTACATCTTCACCCCCATTATGATTCAAACGACCAATCAGAGATATCATTGACAACAAGGGCTACAACAATCCAGAAGAACAAACGGCAGCTGTTTGATAACCATCGAAATTGGAATGTGTTCAGGAGGTTGGTTCTCTGCTGCTTAAAGACATCAGAGCTCTAACTAGGTGTCAAAAAGAAAACTGCGTGTAATTGTGTGTAATTTCCTGACCTGCTTTTAGGGATTTACTAGGAAGAACCCAGAGGAAAAAAACAGCCTTTAAATGTTTATGGTTTCCCCATCAACTTTTGTAGATTTTATGTATAACTGTATATTTTTCTTTTTTTCAATTAAAGTATTTTCTATTCACTCACTCATTCAGACTTTAGGAAGGACACACGGCATCAGGTCTGTGTTTAACTTCATAATGAATAACAAGCTCTCATTAGTGATGTTAATAATAATGTTCCTTTGACTGATAAATGTTGGTCAGACTGACGGCTGGGAGAAAGATGCTCTGTGTCGCCGCCCTCAAGGTCAGAGTCTGAACAATTCATGTCCAGGACATCTGCAGAAATCTTAGCTGGTCGTTTCATGACTTCAGACCTGGTCAGGTCCTGGATGAAGCTCACATCTGATAGGCCAGTACAGTTTGGATCAAACCACACAGAGATGGATGGTCTGGAAGAAAAGCTGCTGCTGGGATCCAGCCAGACTCTCTGAAGACCCAGCTGGTCAGCAACGGTTCTCAGCTGTGCTGTCGGACTCAGATGTGGATGGGTTGGTGGCAGAAGGTAATGGCTGCTAGAATCTGGGATAGAAGAAGCTTCATTTGGGACATTCTGGTGGGACAGATGTTCTGATGGAGCACGAGACGTTTTACACACAGGACAGGACAAAATGTTAGATTGTAGATCTTCAAAGCTGGTTCAAAAAGATCCAAACAGACCTGCTGCTGAACCTTCAGGCGAAGGAGCTTCTAAGACGTTCTGACCTAAAAGGATTTAATAAAAATATACATCCCTAACTTCAGAATTCTGCTTGTAATGGGGTGTTTTGGCCTTATGGCCTTAAGGCGCTATTTTACATCTAACAGGAGTCAGACCATTTCCTAAATGACAGATCAAGGTCCAAACAAAGCTGGTTCTTCCAAAACTATCAATGTAAACCAACTGAATCTAAGGAAATTGGTAAAGGAAGGCAGAAGCTTCGAGACCTGTACTCCGCCTCGCCTTTGTGGAGTAGATGTGGAGCATCAGCGACGACGGCATGCAGGATCTCTACCTGAAACCTCTACAACAGCAGGATGGATCTGTTATCCAGACTGTTCCTCCATCATGTCTTTTATTTAGTTGATCTTTGTATTTGGTAGCTTCTGCATCCAGAGCTGCTGTCTGAGAATACTGTAGTAACCAGAGAGATCCCCAGCAAGAGTGTCCTCCATCCAAACTGAAACCAAACCAGGCTGTAAACCTAGACTGAACCATCCAGATGAAAGCAAAGGAGAGTCTGCCACTATCGGTCCTCCACAGTCCTCTCCAGCCACTAAAAGCAGCATTAAAAGACCACCGTTTTGT